CAGAAGCAGAAGCACCTCTGGCAGTGCAGAATGAAAATACTATAGAAGGCAAAGAATATGGAGGTTGTCTAACATTCTGAATACATGTAAAGTACCAAATCAGGCTCCAGTTACACCTATATGAAAGTCTATAACGAACAAATTTAGGATCTACCAACCTCTGGGATTTACAATTCAAATAGTAGTATGGCATCACTGGGGTCAGTGTAACTCCCTGGATATAACCGGAATTGTCCTGGTCTTGTATGACAACATGCTGAGAGCAAATATAATATGGTAGTATGGCATCACTGGGGTCAGTGTAACTCTCTAGATACAACCAGAATTGTTCTGTATATATGTGAAATAAGTTCTAAACCCCACTATAGCAGGTAGTACTTAAAAGAATGGAGAAGTGCACTGAGCAACTGTATAACATTAAGACCTAGGGCATCTGTGGTGGAACTGCGGCAGCAGAAACTGGCTTGAGATACGGGTTAGTAGTACCTGGGCAGAAATGTGGAAGGGAATATCTGTCAATAAAATACCAACTCTGTCATGTGGTAAACCTAACTAGGCAGCAGTTTTTGGCTTGAGATACAAGTTTCTGCAGATCCTGAACCTTTGTCAAAATTTCCTTAGGAGAACTAATAACATGGCACATCAAACTGGGAGATCATCAGGATCTATAACCCGAATGTTGCCAATTTGGGAGTTATATAGAAGCGAAAGGTAGGTGATGCAGGGAATATAGTCTAGCTAGATATAGTAGTTTCAGGATGCAGGAGTAGTATCGGATACGGGTTTGATCCTTCCCACTAGCAGGCGGTTTAATAGCAATGTCTCTTCAGAGTGGGAGATACCCTGACTGCTAGTGTTGGTTTCGGCCATAGTGTGCTGATGGTACAACTAGGATATATTTGGGCACCCATTAGGGCAGCCGGATAAAGGTCAGGTCGCCAGTTGGGTTAGCATAGCCTAGTAATAGGTTGTAATATAGTTCAAAAATTATGTATATATCTACGGATAGATCTAATAAAGGCTTCACCGGCTTTCTTAGCCAAAGTTTAAAATAAAATAAAATAAAATAAAATAAATTTTTATATATGTATTTATTAATTTGTAAGCTTCTTTATTTGAAGTTTTTTTTAGTTCTTGAATAATATAAATCTTTTTAAAAAACTGTATATTTTGATTAGCTAAGTATTGAGAAATTACAGATAGATCTATAAAAATTAACTAATTATATGAATATCTTTCTATGAATCTTAAGTACTAAAAATCATTTAATAATATTTTAAGAAAATACCAACTGCTTTAATTTAGTTGAAGAAAATTTTTTTTAATCTAGAGTTTTTACTTTTAGATATATTAGTATTATAAAGTTAGTTGCAAAAACTTTCTTATATAGTAATATATAATTGTTAAAAGTCTAATAATTGCAATCATCTGGTTTTTTTTAATTATAATTTTCTATTTTCTTTTTTTATTTTTAGTTATTTGTTTTTATTGTTAATACTTTTTTAATCTATTTTTAATGATAGTTTTTTTAAAAATTATTTACTCTAGTTTTATTGGATTTTTTTTATATTACAGTATAACAAAAATTATATATATTCGCATTTGAAAATTTAGCTTTTTTTTTTTTGCCATCTTACTAACTATAAGTATTTTGTATGTTTTTGTTTAAAATTTATATATTTTTAAATAAATAAACATAAATATTATTACATGTTAATACTAGTGTTATCTATGAAATTATGTTTATATATGCTCTTTGATTTATGAAACCTTGTTCATTTTTCTTTCTTCAGCAGCAACCATTTCTTTCCATTTATCTGATCCTTCAATGGCCTTTGGTTCTTTGGAAGATATAGATAAACCAGCTGTCGCAAGAACCATAATAATGGTCAAAGCTTGTGCGTACATACGTGCATGAACTAATTTCTGGGCAAAGCTCAGGTACCTTGATCGAGGGAGTGGGTAGATAAATTTAATCCGGATCAAACAATAATGACAATTATAAATAAAATTCAAATACTGTTAAACTTACTTATTCCTGTAAGTATAAGTAAGAGATCCAGCCATGCATAAAGCCCAACTTCCACAAACAATACTATATCGATTTTCACTAATGAATTCTTTAGCTACCTGAACAGTTGAATGTGTTTGATGTAATTCTTTGGCAGGCTGATAATAGCCATATCTTTTCCTCTCATAATTTAAGCCAGCTCGTTCTGCACCAATAATGCATGCTGCACTTGTTCCTGCAAACAACAATAAATGTGAACTTAAAAAAAAGATGAACCGAAAGGCAATTGATATAGTAAATACCTGAAGAAACCAGAAAGGCTTTGAGCGGTAATGTAAGTTTTTGATAAAAATGAGAGTAACGTTGAGCCACAAGAGAAACGCCTAAAGAAACGCCCAAGCCAAGGACAGCACCTTTTAAGGCACCGTTAACCGTGGCACGATAATGCTCTATCAATGCAAAATATACTTAAAATCTATATGAATAATTAGAGTTTGGAACTAGATTCGACCTTCGGATTTGATTTACCTAAATTCGAATATAAAACCGAATTTACCGAATCCGAAATCTCTCATTATCTGTACAAAAGCATAGGGAACAAAAGTATTCGACCACCTATAGAATGTCTATAACGATAAAGTAGGTTTCGTTCTTAAGTAATCGAATGTTTTTGTCATCGAGTGTATATATGTATATACATACTACAATGATATTACTATCGTTATTTTTTGGAATTTGATCAATAAAGTAATCGTCGGAATAAATTCGGATTTCGACTTAACAATTCGAATTTAAATTCGAAGCAGAATATCACTAATTAAAATAAATTGGATTCAAAAACCAAATACGGTTCCAAACTCTATGAATGATACGGTTTTATCGTTTATGCAATATTTTAATTACCGTCTTCTTCTTCCTTGGTAAGAATTTTCATATTGCTCTTGTTGAATTTTCAAAATTTACGCGCGCTTTAGGATCGTTTTTATAGTTTAAAGCCGGGTACTATTTATATTTGTTACGCAATTTTGAATCAATTAGTAATCAACCTACGATCTCCAATTTTAGTAATTCCGACGTAAGTACGCATGTATGTATATTCTCCCAATGTTGATCACCGGGATTTTTTAATTATATATACAATATGACTATAATATGGCTGTATTTCTGATCCGAAAAATCGTCCTATTTCGGTGTTGGCATTTGGACTATGTACAAACCGATTTTAATTTGACATGGACAAATATGGATATGACTAATCCAATAACGTTCAAAAAAAAACTTTTTTTTAATTGTAGTCTGGTGTAGTAATTGCCAATTGCGAACATTTACGGCTTACTCAACTCTCTTTTCCCGAAATGTTTCGGAATTTTACTCTAATTTGGCCTTGACCTTTTTTGCTTGTATTTTACGGTAGTGATCCAAATCGCTAGTTGAAAAATCAGCTAGTTGACAACTTTCCAACTAATCGATTTAAAAAAAATTTAAACCAACTAATCGATTAATCATCAAACTGGTACAGTTCCGATATATTCCGTCTAATCGGGCTGTTTCGTGTTGAAATCTTTGGTTTGATTGGCTAATCACCTAATGAGATCATGTGATATGAAAAATCGACTATGTCGCGATAATGAAATCGGATTAAAATGAAATTTGGGGTTTCTATTTAACCCACTTATGCTTGTTTACCATTAATTCTACCCTAAAGCTGTAAAAAAAAGCTAACCAAAATGCAGCCCAAAATTTTGTATTTTTCAGTGGCTTGTCTATTTTACTTTATACAAAATTTTATTTCATTTTAATCTGTCACATTTATTATGTAAGGATTTTTTTAATAATTATGGAAATTTCGGAAAATTAACTTTGTCATTATTTATCGTTATCGAACAAATTTTTTAATACAATTTACAAAGGTACGGTTTTTCAAGCTAAAAGACATAAAATTTTTATATCAAATTTTGTTTTTTGACTTGTAGCTTTTCTTTCTCTCTTTTTGATAATAATCTCGGTTTTACAAAATTCAATTGGTTCATTGTTGTTAAAGTTGGGTAAAGTTTGTTCACTTTGTTGAAGAATTAACTACTTATAAATGGAATAAATCAAAAACGCCATTATTACATTATTCTAAGCGGGTTAATATGTCTTTTACCAAAAATTCGACTAGCAATTATTATGTTAGTTCAAGAGAAAACTGTACCGGAAGTTACTATTATCCGCAGTAAAATTCGGATTTTTACGAACGTTCTTAAATTTCCGCCGGAATTATGGTACTGGCCCGAATTATAAAAAAAATATTACGCTAAAAAATTTCGTGATCTTATTAAAAAAGGGTTAGGGTCCCACCAGTAGATTAGTATTTGGTTTAAGGGTTATAATCATAGTAAAATTTCACGAGGAAAATTTTTTGTTAGTACGCAGAAGGTACTTTCATAGGCAAAATTTTAAGCCACAAGAGTTTTTTTGTTGTTTTAATTTTTTTGTGCTTCTTTTTACATTACACATGATCTTGAAATCTAATTGGCTAGCGAAATTAGGGTGATTTAACTACTGTTGTTGCCCATCATTATATTCAAAGCTTTCTTTAAAAGCAAAACTCTAAAGGATTCGAAATGAATTTATATGGAAACCTCCGGGTTTTATATAACTCGGATGTTTTCGCAATAATGATTTAATGATTACAGATAGGACGTATATATCTGAGCATTTAACACAGAAAAAATTCAATAAATTCATTATGATTCAGAAGACTAGATATTCTTAAGAAAGTAACATTTCCGTTCGCTACCATATATTGAGGTGGTTATTTATAGATGTCATAGTTTCGGTAATCAAAACCATCCTAAAGAGCTATTGGAAATATTTCAAGATTACAAATTAGTATTAAAATAAATTTAAGAATGAAAATGATCCGATTTCGAATATCCAATATTCGGGATATTTCTCAATGTATTTCAGAGTTATCAGAAGAACAAAATTCGTGGAAGGCTTTATATTAGAAATTTCATATTACTTTAACCAAATATTCTTTAACACGAACTTTAGTATAGATATTTTGGAGTAAAATTTTTTCAAATTTAATTTATTCGCAGCAGTTATTTGGAAACTCTTGCACTATATGTGACATTTTCAATAAAATGTATTATTAATTAAACTGATTATAAAGTGGAGTCACCTATAATGCAAGAGATTAGGGATGTTATGTGGTCTGGTCTGGTCTTAGACTAATGGATCACAGTTAGTCTTAAGACCAGTTTGAACTAGAAAAAGATTGGCCTGCTCTAAGTCTTAAGACTGGACTGGTCCATAATACTGTAGACCAGACCTGACCTGACTGGATTCTTAACATCCCTACAAGTGATCCTTTATCTCATAAGGCCAATTAAAAGTTTTGTGTAGTGCCATCCCAGTCTCATTAATGTTTTCAGTCCAGTTTCGGTCCTAAAAACGGTTCTTAATCATTTAAGCCTCTAACCACTTTATAATTACGTAACACTTTTTTTAAAATTTTTTTTTTAATTATAAAGACTGATCTTAATCGTACAGTAAGACCGGTTAAAAAAACTAGTCCTTATTCGGTTTTTCGGTAATAATGTAAGTAATAAAATTACTTATTTTTATTACGTATTAATTATTACCTAAGACGATTGATTATTACTTATTACGTTTTACAAATGTAATCTGGAAAAATATTTACTAATTACACAAAAAATTGGAGGAAATAATAAGTAATAATACGTTTACTAAAATTGCCATCTTTAGGAAGTATTATCATCAATATCATTGCCATGACATTATTATGGTTGCTTTTGAACGTACAATTGTAACGGTAAACATTCATTACACAAATATTGATTGATTAAAATTATTATACGTAAAATTTCGGTGATACCTGTGGAGTTTACATATACGTAAAAGTTAAATCACACTGCGCGACAATTTAGTAAGTATATATCGATATTATTAGTAATTTGTTGCATATTGTGTGATTTAACTTTTACGCAGGCCCATGAGCCGACCAGTCTCAATGCCATTATCATAGTTGTTTTTGAACGTATAGTTGTAAACATTCATTATACAAATATTGCTTGGTTAAGATTCGGACAACATTAAAGATTAGATAGAAAGGGTTGGTTGTTTTAAAAACGTCATTACATTTGATAACGTTCGTTACGCGACGGCGTTCGTTACACGACGACGTAATGTTATTTATCTGTTATTTATTTATTTATTTAGCAATTATTTATTATTTATATAAATAAAGATTTTTATTAATAAAATCATCCAGAATGGCGATCTGAATTACTCGTCAAAAGTTTGACATCAAGTTATGACATGATTATAACATATAATAATTGTTAATTTGCATCTCTCCAAGCAACATAGACTTCATCGGTTCTAAATCTAATAATACGTTAAATAATATTAATTAATACTAATAAAGGAAAGTTATCAATACAATTCATTAATACCTTTGTGTGCAAGTTGCCTTCTCTATTGGTGTTACGAACCCAGTCCTAAATGCAAGTAATCCGGCATGGGCAATCATTATGCCGTTATCAATACAAAAACTGATTTTGTTGTTAAATAATGAAATTAATAAGTGATTTTTAGAAATGCCAAATTAATCATTTATATTTACCGTTCATCAGTTGCAAATACTTTTCCTCCACGTTGTTCAACCATCTGTGCCATCATCTCTTGTAAACGAAGGTTACCTGCAAGTATTCAGAAAACGAGTCATTATTTATTGAAAATTGGAATTTTACAAATTTTATTCAGAAATTATACAAGATTCTAACATCCAACACCACCGACTATCAAAACTTCTTTACTTCCGATATGTGCCATCGCTCTTTCAGTTGTCTCAACCAACATAGCAAAAAGTGTTTCCTGTAAAGAGAAACAAAGATCCTCAGGAGTACATTGACCGGTGGATAGCTGTTCATTTGCTACTGTTTCTATAAAGGATAAAATTCCTGAAAATGAAACATCCATTCCTTTAACCGTATAGGGTAATTCAATAAATTTGTTTCCTCTAATAATAAAATGATATTTAAGCAACAAAATAATAAAATACAAATTTAAATTCAAAAAAAAAATATTACCGTTTAGCATATTGTTCAATATTATATCCCGGACTCGGATCATTTGGTAAGTTTAAAATTCTCGCGAACCTATCAAGACAATTTCCAACAGCGATATCAAGAGTTTCACCAAAAATTCTATATCTATTCATAAATAATATTATTCGTATAAAATGAATGATCACCGTGAATAATAGGAACTTCAAGTAAGATCATACCTATGTTCTGAATATGCAATTACTTGTGTATTACCACCACTCACATATAATACCACCGGATTATTAGCTCCTGTAATCTCTCTTCCCATTTCGATATCTGGCAACAGAAAAACAGGTAATTAACAGGTAAAAACAGTACGTTCTCCATTCTTATTTATTCTTGGTTCCGAGTATATAAAAATACTTTAAATACCATCCATATTCAAAATCAGGAATTTGATATATATAAATTAAGGATTACTTACGCCCTATACAATGATTGACACCAACAATTGGCTTATTCCACAACAGTGCTAAGGTTCTTGCAACGACAGCTACAGATACCAAAGGAGCTCCCATACCAGGTCCTATCGATGCAAAATAAATTATTCACTATCATAATTTCAACTATATAAAAATGTACCCAAAATACCTTTTGTATAACAAATAACATCAATATCTTTTACTTTGACATTAGCAGTTTTTAAAGCTTCTCGAATCACCGGAATAATATGTGCTCTGTGGTGAGCTGCAGTATCTCGCGGTAAAAAACCTGTTCCTGGTGGAGTAATATGTGTGTGGCGGACATTTGCCAGAATATTTACTTGACCAGTTTCAATATTATGTTCTATGATACCAATCCCTAATTTATTTGCTGAACCTTCTAATCCTAATGCTATCATAATTTCAAATATTTCTTATTGTAACACATAATCTGTTGTAAAAGGTTGATGTGGAGATAATGTGAAGCGTGTGAAGCGTGAATTTAGGTTATCAATGTAATGAGAATGTGGCATATAACTAACCAAAAAAGACGTATTTGTACATATTTGGTGTAGCCAAGGTTTTAATCTATTATAATACTTTGTCTTATTTTTGATTCAAAAAAAATAATTGTTCTGTAATGAAAATGGTAAAAAGTGATTTGTTAAAACGAATATGATCTTCATTATATCCAATTTTCGTAAGGACAAACAAGATTTCTTCCTGTTTTTTTCTTTTTTATAGTTGTCCGAACCTAATACTGTACTATTTTTCCTCGATGACCTGAACATCCTTAGCGTTAGAAGCGTTAGAATGCCGTAATAACAAGTTATTTAGTATTACATCATTATAACGGGATATTTTGATTACGTAATTCTAAATTCGTCAACGATTCGCTCTTATTTAATACAAAAAAAAACTGCACCTGCATCATTTTTGTTAAATCTCGTGCCTCGCCTCTTTTGATTGACTGATTTACAGTCTGTAAATATATAAAGGCCGGTTCAAACCTGCATAAATATAAACTTTTACAAAAATTTGGTTGTAATCCTTTTTAGTGAAAAATACTCTTTTATCGTTTCGAAATTAAAAACGTCTGCCAATCAGATAAAAAAAAAAAACAATTTCTTTACGTTACTACTATATTATATCGAATACTTATTTCTTTTTCTAAAAAATAAAGAAAAAAACAATGGCTGATATTGAATTTAACCCTAATGTCATTTACAATAAGCTCGTAAGCTTACGTGCTAAGCCACAATTGAGTGGCAAGGCAGCAAATGGAGAATTGCAGCCGGTCTCTTCTCTTCGAATCGATGTTGCATCCGTAACAAAAGATGTTAATCGTTTCCGTGCTTGTGATGGTAGTGCTTGCTTTTATTGTCGAGAGTGGGCAATTTTCGTTTATAAAAAGAATTTTACTTGGGTAGCGAAAAATACTACCAATAATGCAATTAAAGTTGATAATTCCGTAGATGAACCAGATGAACCAAAAAAAAATGCTTCAATCATTTGTCAGCAATTTAGTGAACTTATTGTCAAACACGATGATGAGAAAATTAAAACAAATGGTTCTGATAGTGATTCGGAAAATATCATCAATGATATGGTTCATAAAATTTTTGCTTGGATAAAGGCTCCTAATCGTCTATATGTTGTTCCGAATATTTTCTCTAATGTTGAATTTGATATATCGAAACCTACTTTACCAACTCATGATAAAGAACGTGATCTTGTATATATACTTGAATCCATTGAGATTGAAAAATCTCATTATCAAATTTCAAAACAACATTTTCCTTTATTGAAATTGACGAATTCACCACAACAATGTCATCATACAAGGCCAGAGTGGAAAGTTCCAACTGACCTTGATCTTGATCGTCGTGTATTTAATGATCTTTTATTTAAGGAGAAATCTCAAAATGAAGAGTCATTAAAAGAGAGTTTGGCTCAGGTTTGGTCATATGTTACCAATTTCTTGACATCAATACTTCAAATAGAAGCGAATAGAGATCTGATTTTCGGTAAAGGTTGTGTGGCAAATATGGAAAATTTCATGAAAGAATATCAAGATGAATCACTTTCTTTCAAAGATTATTGGGCTCCCATTGCTGAAGCATATAAAAAGACTCCAAAATCTAAAAAGGCAACTACATCTGCAACAGACCCTGTGGATGATATCGATGCTGCTTTTAGAACTTACATACATAATGCTAAAACAGTGATTTCATGCTGGGAAGAAAGTTTTATTGAAAAGGCTTTAACAAGTGCTGTTCAATTCAGTGAAGAAACTCAGTGTACTTTACTAGGATTTCTTGTTGATTTTCAGAATAGAATATCTAACATTCAAACCAAAGAATCTCTCGATGATATCTTAGCAAATTGTAGGGATGCTTTAATTGCGGTTAAAGATATTAAATTAATGATATCAAAAAGGATATCAATTCTGCGTTCAGATATCTCTAAAAAGAGTAAAGAGTCGATTCAAGAACTTGAAGCGCTCGATGAATCCTGGAAAACTCAATCCCAACGGACAACTCAAGGTCGATTGGAAAAGGCAAATAATAAAGAATTTCGAAAACGAATCAAAAAATTTGAAAGCACGTTGCAATCAACGAGACTAACGACGGTAGCTGCAATCGGTGCTTTATTTCCGGTCACAAACCTTGCGAGTATATGCAACAATTGCTTAGAATTGTTAATTACTGAAGGTGAAATCATGGAAGCTATTCAGTTGGAAAAACATTATAAGAATTATGAAGTCACTGCTAAGAAATTTCAGGAACAACGTGAAGCTCTTTTAAAAGACTTTGAACAGGGTGTTGAGACTGGTCGCAAGGTGTTATCTGGAATTTTTGGACGTTTGTTTCTAAAAGAAGCTCGGGGATTGATATCGGAAACTTTAGCATTGAAGAAACAAGATGCTTTTTTGCAATCAATAGATAAGGGAAAGACAGAGGCTGTGAAAAAAAAGAAAATAGATAAAGAAGCTGGTAATAATGCATCACAACCTGTGGACAATTCTATTTCAACTGAAGTTTCAAAAAAGAGCAAAAAGAAAAAGCGAAAGAGTGTAATTGCATCTTCATCTAGTAATAACCAATCAGTTAATATACAGCATGATAATTTAATGTCGTCACAAGAACCTGAACCTCAATCGAATGATCCTTCTTCATCACAAGATTCTTGCCATGCTGAAGAACAAAAAACTTTAATAGACACGATGACAGACAATAGTTTAAGCAATAATACAAATTTCACTCAGTCTATAAACTTGGAAAGCACAGTCAAACCTTCAATCTTAGATTCATCGCAAGATTTCCAAGAACCGCAAACTACGTACCCAGATGAATTTCAAGACAATAGTTTGAACAATAATAATAAGTCTGTCGACGGGGAAAATATGGCAAAGTCTCCAGTTTTAGATTCATCGCAAGATTTTTCAGTACCTCGTCCACACGAATTTCAAGAATCTCCCCAACGTCGTATTTCAACACCACCTGGCCTTACCAAAGGGAATAATTCAACACCCGAAGGTTTTATGGACCTCGATAATTTTAGTAGAGCAGATTTAATCTTACTTGTTCAAAATCTATTAAGCGAAAAAACACAATTGGTTAAAACTCTCGTTTCTATGCAGCAAGAAGTAAAGGCTGTTACGGATCGTTACACTAATTTGGTGGAGATGAGCAGAGAACGAGAATTTCAAACTTTTCAATTATTTGAAGCACACAAAAAACTAGAAATGGATGAAGCAACAAAGTATATTCAAAAGCTGGAAGCGCGAATTAGTCAACTAGAAAAAAATAAAGTTAGAGGTATTAACGGAGAATATGTAGATCCATGGCGTAGTCATATCGCCGGATCTCGATCAAACGTGAGGTGTGGAAATTGTGGTGGTCAAAATCATATAAGTCAGGAATGTATTACAGGATGCCGTTATTGTGGTGATCTTGGACATTTGAGCGAACTTTGTAGTTCATCGATGAATGGCACTAATCTGGAAAGTGATAGATTTTGTAAGGATAATGCATGTCCTCCGAATCTGAATAAAAATGAGGATGTGATAAGACAAAATGGGCCACAATTATTTTAAGATATTGAATTTCTGGTTACAGTTATTTGTAAAAAAGGAAATTAAATATTTGTTGTTTTTATCTTTTTTTGAAACAATTCAATTATTAGCCACTGATTCATTTTCTACAAAACAGTAAAATGGTTGATATGTTTATGAAAAATGAAACCTTTCTTCTACATTCTGTGTAATGTTGCGTATATCTATTTATTGTTAAAAAAATCAAATTTTTTAGAAGTTTAAATAAAGATATTGTGGGCAATTAAGAAAATTTGATGATTTTTTTTTATTTGAATTCTACGGGTTTATAGAATTAAAATAAAAATAATTTTATTGAATTTGCCTAAGAGGTTATTAAAATATTCTTATTTAAACATTAAAATATATACGTATTAGTTAGAAATTGTAATAAAAATTTTTTTAAAATTTTTTAAATAAATTACAAATATTTTTATTAGTTTTACAAGTTTGTAAAACTAAGAAAATTTTAAATTTATTGTATAAAGTTTTATAAAAATTTAAATATTTGGAATGAATCAATAGAAAAAAACACAATTTTTTCTTAGTTTTTTTTTAATTTTAAATATTTTAATAACTAATCAAATTTAATAAAAATATTTTATTTTAATTCTATATAATTTTAAGATTTAAATAAAAATTTTTATCAAATTTAATTAAATAGCTAAAAAATTTTAATTTAGAAATTATTAAAAATAATGTTTTTATTAATTTATTTTTATTTATTAAGAATAACATATGGGCGGATCTGCAGATCATCTCAAATTTTTTGACGTACCTAAATTTGACACATATATAGATCTTCAATGCGTCAGTCATTTGACAAATATATAAACCAATTAAATATTCGTATAGCTAATATATAAATTAATACTTCTGTACTTATAGTTAGATTTCGAATTTATAAAAAAAACTCAAGTGCTTACTATGTATTACTTTTTTATTTGTTTTTTTAAAAACTTTTTTAGACATAAATTAGTACAAATAAAAGAACTCTTTCTGTCAATCACTTACACAAAATTTAACTAAAAATTCGCCAGTCAAAAATTGTTAATAACACATTATTTTATTAAGATAACTGCCTTTGG